ATCCCTGACTGGACCATAGTTCACATTAAGCGAATGGACGCTAAAATTAGAGAACGTTTCTTACTTGCTATCGCATGCATCATCCCAACGCTGATGTTGATCGCGTGTATGTGCCCAAATGTAAAGGAGGCAGAGGATTAGTTCAACTAGAACGGTCCTTCAAAGATACATGGAAACTACAGACGACTTGATAATGATATGTGTCAAAAGAACATGAAAGTAGTAAGCGATCTTTTTCCGTAATAAAAGAAGCCAACAAGTTCAAAATGGTGTTTCAAATAGGTGTAGAAATACAAGTAAAGCACAATACACTGACTGAAGTTGCACAATACTTAAAGAAGAAAGCAAAAGCAAATGCAACCAAACAGATACAGAAACAATGGCAAGATAAACCGCTTCATGGCCAATACTCTGCCCGTACCAAACAATCTGACGTAGACAAACCCCGTACCAATCAGTGGCTACGTAGCGAAGGGTTAAAAGCTGAAACCGAACGTTTTATTCTTGCTGCACAGGACCAATGCTTGTTAACTCGAAATTATCAAGAACACAAACTAAAAAATTGTGTTAACTCAAAATGCAAATTCTGTGATAAATATCCACAAACATTTGATCATCTTTTATCAGGTTGCACGGTATTAGCACCTACTGAATATAAACATGGCGTGATACACTGGGCCAATATTTGCAGGGGAAATCTGCAATTTCTACGTAAAGGAAACCGGTATGAACACCACCCAAACCCGGTTACGGAGATATGACCCATAGCAATTTTATGGCACTACACAAAACACACAAACAGAAGAATTAAAGATAATTGACCAGATATCCTTATCAGAAACTGCAAACAAAATAAATGTCTCCTTATTGATATGGAAGACCTACTATGTATCTTTGCAGATCTTCAAAAAACTATAAAAATACAAGGACCTTGAAATCAAAATCTCAAAAATGTGGTTTTCGAGAACATCAGCATTCCCTGTTGTAGTTGGAGCCCTCGGATCTATTGAAACACATTCTGATAGACTCATGTGTGCGTGTGTTTTAATTGCTCAGTGAAAAATATCATGATGGAATTTATGACCTTAGGTCTCTGGTTGGGACCTGGAAAGAAATAATAATAATAATAATAATAATAATAAAACCCGGCAAACTGCAAGTAATTGGTATGAACACCACCCAGACCTGGTTACAGAGAGAGAATCTGTAACAATTTTATGGCACTTTACAAGACACACAGGCAACAAAATCAAAGCTTACCGATCAGACCTCGTGATCAGAGACCACAAAAACAGAATGTTCCTACTTATTGATATGGCGATCCTTGCAGACCATAAAATATCTTCGAAGATATTTAAAAAAAAAACTATAAAAATACAAGGAACTTGAAATGGAAATCTTAAAAATGTGGCACGTGGGAATATCAAGAATTCCAGTTGTCGATGGAGTCTTCGGATTTATTGGAAAAGGTTCTGATAGATACATTAAAGAGATTCCTGGTAGCCCGTGCCTTAAAGAAAACCAAAAAACTGTACTGACATGTATATCTGTCAACTTACGACGGGATTTATGTATTTAAAATATGTATTAGTTTTATTTGTTTTTTTTATTGGATTATCCTCAAAAATGTTCAGAGGCAAATGTCATGATTCCATTTCTAAACTTAGTTCTCTGGTTGGGACTCGGAATGGAAGTATATACCAGAAATAAAAAAGAAACAATAATAATAATAATAATAATAATAATAATAATAATACGCTAAGAGTGAACACCATTTAAGAAAAGAAAAAAAATTAAAAACAGTGTTTAACAACGTTTAACGATATTTCGACAGTCCTCTACAAATTTTGTTTAAAAGTTACATTGAAGCTTAAAATATATGAAAATAATACAAATATCTGTTATGGCCCAGGTTATTCCCAAGGAAGAACAACACGAACACAAGAGTAGAAATAACGAAGGTATATTACATGAAATAATAATACAAGATGTGGAAGGTGTTAGTATGACTGTCAGTCTGGTTTGGAGTGACCTACTATCGGCTCGACTCGATTCGATATTTACTTGTCACCCCCACAAGGGAAAGATGTGGCACAAGGCCGAGTCTAACGTGGGTTTTCCGATCCCGTTGGCTCAGCCAAAAAATGCCCGTAGAACCCGTATAAACGGGATCGGGTTGGTCAACCTCCCCGAACGAGACTCTGTCCTTTGGCGTCGCCTCGTCCGGGTCCCTCTCTGCTCAGAACCAGAGAGTTCGACCGTCAAGCCGAGAAGCTCGGTTCGATTCGATATTTACTCCCCCCCACCCCACGAGCTAAAGATGTGGCACAAGGCCGAGTTTTACATGGGTTTTTTGAGCCCATAGAAACTGTAAAAACAGAATCAGGTTGGTCAACCTCCCCGAACGAGGCTCTACCCTTCGGCAGAGCCTCGTCCGTGTTCCTCTCTGCTCAGAGGCAGAGAGTTCGGCTGTCAAGCCGAGAAGCTCGGCTCAAATATAGGCAAGAAGTAAGGCATGTAGCAACATCAGCACGGCAACGGACACTCATTTAAAAGCAAGGAAGAGCAAAAATATTTTAAGTCAAGTGATAGCGATTGCTGTATGAGTCGTAAGATTTTTGAATCAAACACAGGCAACGCCGGGCTATGCTGCTAGTTTTCTATAAAATTAAGACTATTATCAAACTATATACCTTGTAAAATAAGTACAGATATAAATCTAATTATCTGATATTATCGCTAGTATTGTACAGGTACATAAAACATTTTACAGCTGGAATTTGGCATAGATCAGTAAAGATGTATAAGAATATATAATTTTATGAAACAAATTACTTATAAGTTTGGAGGTTTAGCAAGATTGTAATATTAGATCCTTAACGTGTCTACAAAAAACGGTAGTCTCGGATCTTTGATTTAATAACTGACTATTATTGAAAAGCCTAATAATACATACTTTTCTTGCAGACATAAGAAACAGGGTTCTTTCAGAGATCTGCAGCTTCTAGTCCGTTTGAGGATTTTTCAGTTAATCTTAGTTGTTTTTTTTTCTTCCTTCAGTTTCCAGAAATATTTAGAAAGCGAAGTCATGTTGCGTTTGCTTGCATTTGTAAAAGAGGATATGTGGTTATAATATCTCTTCTTCAAATCATTCCTAGTGGATCCAACATACAGTTTTATATTACTGGGGTTTCCAGTTGATGAGGTATACAATAGATCTCGTTAAGCACTTGCTTGATAATGGGCATTGGCCTGGAATTCTACAATTACATCGTTCGGTTGTCTGGGGTATACTAGAATTTTTATTCGGGTTGCATTTATTATCGTTATACAGTTTTAATATTCTATTGTGTGATTTAATAATTTTGTTTAATTTTTTAGTACAGCTATAACTGATATTTATCATATTACTGTTGAAAATTTGGTTTAATTTACTCTTCTTTGGAAAATGCTTATCAATCAAATTTAGAAATGTGTGTCCCAGTTTGGTACGAACTAGTTTAATGAAGGAAGATGTCTACCAAATTATCTTCCTTCCTCTATTCTTATTACTTGAATAACTATATTTTTCTACGTATTTAATTTCGGAATAACTATAGCTACTGTCGCTCATGATTTTGTTGTAAACAATTTTATGTTTATTGAATAATTCTTTGCTTTTGAAGTGTTTGTTAATACGGCGCTCTACTGTTGATGGGATATGTTTAATAATCGAAGTTGGGCGACTGGAATTAGGATTTATATAAATGGAGTTAGAGTTATTTTTCAAGAAACGTTGAAAATTATGACGGGCTAGGTTTAAAGTTATATATAAGAAATATATAAGAAATCTATTTGTTTGATATTAGAATTATTTTTAAACCTGAGGTGTAAAGATTTAAACACCCTATGAATAAGTTTTCTCAGCCTGTATACCTTACTTCCAGTGGAATTATTTACTATTATTAGACCATCATCCCTATATAACCCTATATCATTTAAGTTAATCTCCTCATATGCAGTAAGATTGTACATCTTAAATTGCAGAAAATAAATAATAATCCACAACAACGAACAGTGGATAAAAAAAATTCGGATGAAGTCTTTGACATATATATGGGATCACTGGACTCTGCTGTATCATCAGATTTGGTCGGAATATTTATTTTGTATAATATATCCCCGTTTTTCTTAAACGGGGTGCTAAAGATCATAGTAATAAGGATAACGAATGTATATTCTAGTTTATTACAAAGAGTGTTAGAGGGTAGTATAATGAATTTGTGTTAGAAATGTTGTCGAGATTTTTTTGAATTTGTGGATGTTGTAAGCTCGTTTTCTCGCAATGACGTCTGCAGGAAAGTAGGATAAATGTCATCTCAATATATTTCTCTTCTTCATTTATGTATTCCGAGCTATACATCCTAAGGATTTAAAGTCTAATTTTATTGTTACAAATTAATAAGATGTCGAGCATAGGTAGAGATTTGTTTATTTCAACTTCATGTGTTAATTCATCGGTAGGTTAGACCTTATTAATTTTCATTATTATGTCTAATAGATTTATATTATGAGGCTATAATAAAAGAACCACATCTATATGTCTTAGGTAAGAAGAGCTGTTGTGTACGAAGTGTTTAAATGGACTAAATTCTAAAAAGTCCTGGAAAAGTCAAGCAAGGTGACAAGTAATAGGTGGTCCAACAAGTAAGCTAATTCTTACATAAAGTATTTTGAAGTTGAAAGAGAAGAAGCTGCGGTTATTGATTAGCTTACATAGTTTTATTGACAGGTAAAGGAAGTCTATTGATTTAATCTATCTGTATTGATATGGTATTTTCTTTTTTTCAGTCTGATCCAATCAATCTACTTCAGTCTGTTCACTATCTATCTATCTATCTATCTATCTATCTATCTATCTATCTATATATATATATATATATATATATATATATATATATATATATATATATATATATATATATATATATATATATATATATATAGTATATCTATCTCAGTTCATATCTATCTATCTATCTATCTATCTATCTTTCACAGTTTGTTCATATCTATCTATATCTATCTTTCACAGTTTGTTCATATCTATCATCTATCTATCTATCTATCTATCTATCTATCTAAATATATATATATATATATATATATATATCAGTTCGTATCTATCTCAGTTAGTTCATATCTATCTATCTATCTATCTATCTATGACAGTTTGTTCATATCTACCTATCTATATCTATCTTTCACAGTATGTTCATATCTATCTATCTATCTATCTATCTATCTATCTATCTATCTACATATATATATATATATATATATATATATCAGTTCCTATCTATCTCAGTTAGTTCATATCTATCTATCTATCCATCTATCTATCACAGTTTGTTCATATCTATCTATCTATCTATCTATCTATCTATCTATATATATATATATATATATATATATATATATATATATATATATATATCAGTTCGTATCTATCTATCTGAGTTTTTTTTCATATCTATCTATCTATCTATCTATCTATCTATCTATCTATCTATCTATCTATCACAGTTTGTTCATATCCATCTACCCCGGTCTTTTCTTATCACTCTATTTATATAAGTCTATGCACATCTATCCCAGTCGTTTCATATCTATCTATCTGTCTATCTGTATGTATGCATATATATATATATATATATATATATAATATTTTTTATTTTTATATATTATTTTTCATCTTTATATCAACTGATTTATCATTTTAACTCAGTTTCTACTTACCAATCCATCACTGTCACTGTTTTTATGTCTTTATTTATCGAGCATTTTTATTCTGTTCACTTTTCCCCCTCATCTCCCCTTTCAATCCCTCTCCCACTTTCTATATCCGCTTTTATTCACAATAATTTTAATCCTATTAATCTATCTATTATTATCATTCTGATCATATTAATCTACATATTATTATCATTCTGTCCATCTTTCTCTCCCATTCTTTAGCCTTTCCAGTTCATTATCTATCTAGCTAGCTCAGTTTGTTCGTATCTATAAGTCTTTTCATTATCTATCTATCTATCTATCTATCTATCTATCTATCTATCTATCTATCTATCTATCTATCTCATGTCGAACTTAATTTTGTAATAATATTAAACGTATTGAGCAAACGGCAAAAATCGAACCTCCTCCAACAGAGTTCTGAACAGAAAAAAAATCTGGCTTGCTCACTATTACCACATGTCATCCACACGGCGACACCCCCACAGAAATACAACAAATAGACATAAACGAACAAGCACATAATCAGCCATATATATATATATATATATATATATATATATATATATATATATGTATTTGTGTGTGTGTGCGTGTTGAAGAGACGAAAGGGAGTGAAAAAAACCTGAAGCTAATGGTGCTATTCCAATAAAATCATGGGAAAATATAAATCAGGCGTCTCCACATCAAAAAGGTAATAGAAAAAAGGAAATATATAAAAAGAAACCCTTCAAGAAAAAAACAGAAAATCGTTTACACACACACAATACATATATATATATATATATATATATATATATATATATATATATATATATATATATATATGCATTCCCTAACTACGCTATCATCGATCAAATAGTTGTTCGCTTCATTTAACCCAATATAAGAGTTGAAAGTATGCATAATACAAAATGGCGGCTGATAGCGATTTCTTTATAAAGAGACGCGACATTTACTTGATTTAGAAAAACGACCAATTGCCAGAATTTTTAATATGGAGAAGGCGTGTGTATCTCTTTAAGCCCTCCCCTACTCTATCAGATCTAACGCAGACAGAAAGAAACAAAAATGAAAAAAAAAATGTGTAACATCTAAACTTAATAAGAGAAAAAAAAATCATTATAACATGTTGCTTGCGTCTCGAATAACGATCCTTTCTTTTCTGATTCTTTCCTTTACCACTAGAGAAGGGGACTGTATAATATGTTATAATTATATATTTGTCTCCGATCGAAATGTTCCTAATCAGTACGAGGACATTTTTCCCCGTCCTGTCACCTCAAAAATATATAAGGAGATTCCAGCAGAAAGTGGTGGAAGTAAAAAAAAGTCTGTATCCTGAGCAAAAATATGCAGCAGTATTTGTAATCTTATCCAACCCAGGGTGGTTGGAATTTGATAGTTATTCGTCAGGCGACGGACTTAATATTTGCCAGGGATTCATCGAGGAAGATTTTATCGCCATTCATGAGAACGACATCCGCAAATGAGATTTATTTATTGTTAGAGATTAAAATTCCATTAAGTATTTTTTTGTGTTTTCTTTGGAATTCAATAAACATCACGATTGGCTGAAAGATGACGACGGTATGTGGTAATATAATCGGCAGATAAATTTTACAAGATGGCGGATTGAATTATTTATTCTAAGAACTTCATTACTAATTCTGACCCATAATAGTTGCTACATTTAGCGCATTAATTTTTTTTTTTTTTCAAAATTGTTGATTCCAATTATTGTTGGAATGAATATATATTTATGTTTTTTACAACAAAAATTGTGGCATATGGCCGAAGGAGAAATGGAGAAAGGCTGGTCTTCACTGACTATTTAAACGTAATTGGGACCATTCATTCAATACATTATACTTATTCACCACATGAACTTGTCCATTTTCTTTCAATCCTACATATACAAAAACACGACCTGGGACTTACAAAACAAGCCACGATGTAAAAAGTTTAATAAATGTTCGTAAGGTCTTCTTATTTGCTTCTCAATCATTGTAGGAATATATTTATTTGTAATAAATTACAAAATACAGCATAAGACCAAAAAAGCGGAATGGAGAAAGGACAGTCTTCTTCTGCCTAAACTTAGCTAGCCACAAATACTGACACAAATATACAACAAAATTCCTTACACCAAAACAACGCATAATTACTTACCTTTTTAAATACATCCACCATAATACCTCATGTCTCCATGAAAAAAAAAAAATAACTAGTCCCCTATAAACTTTGATTTTAGTTGATTTTCCATCCGTTTATATGCATACTTATAGATCCCCTTTGAAAAGAGCGGTTTGCTTATATCCTGATTGTGAAAGCGTTTTGATTGGTTGGTTGAACTGTTTATAAGGCTATACTTTCATTTGCCCCCTTCACATACTGCTTACCGTCATATACATATATACATATATACATATATAATAAAATATAGATTCTAAGAGGGAACAAATGAGCTCAATATATCTCGGATAGAATGTGTAAAATATAAGTGGAGATTGGTGACAGTCACTTTCATGCTAGACCACAATCTTCAAGCTATATATATATATATATATATATATATATATATATATATATATATATATATATATAATTATTTATTTGAAAATTATAACATAAAAATGTTATAATATGACTACACAAATAGCCATTTTTTCAACACTTCTAGTGTCTTTATAAGTGATGGTGTTGAAAATAGAACCTATATTCTATATTCAACACCATCACTTGATAAGTCATCAGAGGTGTTGAAACAAAATTGCTATATTTGTAGTGATTTTATAACATATAAATAATTATGTTTGCTCTACTCTGTATTGAGCACTCTTTTAAGAATAGTATTTTTGGTTATTGGAATCTATTCCGTATACACCAATCCTATACTTGGGTATATATATATATATATATATATATATATATATATATATATATATATATATATATATATAGGTAAGAATTCATCATTTTCTTCAACCTCTTAGCTTGGGGTGAATAAAAGTGTGTGATGGTGGGGAGTAAAACAACAAATTTAAAAAGTCTAACCCCAATGAATATTTACAAAAAGGAACAAAAACATTATACAAAGAACTGGACAAAATAGTGTTAATAATGCCCCCCTCCCGCAATCCTAAATTAGCAGAGACATCATTTCACTGGACGAAACTTATGCCGGTGCACTCACTTAACTACAAACTCATCCAGACTCAACAACAAATACGAAAAACACACCGGAAACGAGAGGCGCACGAAATGCACCAGAAAACTGACATCACTGACCACGTGACGAGGGGGGAGGGGCAATTATACAAAGTAAAATACGGACAGAAATAAAAGGAGCCAATGAGCATGCACTCCCTAGCTAAGTTAATCTGAAGGCAATCATTGTAGGAAGGACTATAAAAACGTCCCCCTTCTCCAAATTTAGCGATAAAGCATACTGATGCATGCTGGGATTTAAAAATAAAAAATTAAAAATGGCGACTTCTCAGTCTCATCCGATATTTATCTTCTTTCTTGCCTTCAAGTTAGAACACTGCGATGACTTATCTGTTTTCCCTTTCGTGTGTTTAACACCATTCTTAGTTTACGTGAACTTTTCGCCTTATTACTGTTGCGTTGCCTACCCTTGTCTTGTATATATTGATTGCTTAATATTATTTTATCAATATTATTTTTGACCTGTTATTTTCGTTCGCTTGTTATTGCTGATTTGCAAACTTAGACAATTATCTTTGCTGGAATTTTCTGACGATTACATTCAACCGTGGCTAATTACTCTACAAAAATAATTTTACGTTTGTATATAGAAATAAAAATAAAAGAGCAGTTTTATGAAAAATTAAATATTTTATTAATTCATTGTTGGAATCATTAACTTTAATTCAGTTAAAGCATTTTTTTAATTTCTGCCTGTGAACTGGATGCATTGCCTATTTATGTGATATAAATATATTGAATGATTATATATTGAATAATGAAAAATATATATATATATATATATATATATATATATATATATATATATATATATATATATATATATATATATATGAATGAATGAAATGAAAACTACAGACAAAAGTTCATTTTCTCCAGCAAGATATTCATTTCTGTAGTTTAGTGCTAACAGCAAGCAGAAATATTTCTCCTCCTGATGATGACCATTTTGGTCGAAACTAGTGGAGGAATCTAAATGGAATAATAATAAAAAAAAAACGAAAGAATATTAATCTACAACCCAGTGTGTCTAAAGATTTTAATTTTTTTTATTGTTCAAAATATATATATATATATAGTTATTTATTTTAAAAATTATAACATAAATATAATATATATATATATATATATATATATATATATATATATATATATATATATATATATATATGTATGTATGTATGCGTTTTATATATAAATAACAATTTGAGGGGAGTAATATATGATAAAAGTGGAAAAAGTTTTGTGTTTCGCGTTTCATTCTTTAGGACTTCATCGGACTAAATATTTTACGTTGGTGTCACTACACATTCCGAAGAACTAGGGATTATGGGAATTGTAAATTTTAAATTATTTTTTTTTTTTTCCATGTTTTGAGTATACAGTACAGCTGATTACATTTAGATATTTTTTTCTTTTTGTTGCCATCACTTTTTTTTATTAAATAATATACCCAAAACACATACGAAATAAACAAAATTAAATGAAAAAAATAACTTTAGAATTCCCAGCATCCCTCGTTCGCGCACATGTGTAATCGCACCGTCATAAACAAATTTAGTCCGATTAACTCCTAAAGGACAAAACGCGTCGCACAAAACCTTTTTTCCACTTTGTCATACATATTTCCCCTATAATTATATTTGTAAAATATATATCACTATAAAAAAGAAGCCAGTAAACTTTCATCAAATCAAAACCGAAAACGTTTTATTTTATGATAAAACGAATAAGCGGTATATATACACATACTTTCGTGGGTTTCTCATTGGCGTAGCCATTTTGTTGTGGACACAGACAATTTTACACATAATTGGTGCAAGTGTCATTTCCCTGGATTTTTTGAAAATCCGATTTGGCCTCCGTGAAACCCTGACATGAATTCTATGAATTTAAAAACATGGTCTTCTTCATGTATGGCTGATACTGATTCTATGCTGAGCGGGATTTAGTTACAACACTAAGACGCTCACAACCTCAGTCACTTGCACAAACTTGACAACCAGTGGTATGCTTTTCAACGGGTGGGTATCACCTCTCCGGCTCAATAATGCCAATAACTCATCATGTTGATCAATGGAACATAGTGACATTTGAACCAGGGTCTACTGGTTGAAAAGCGAGCAT